GAGAGAGAGAGAGAGAGAGAGAGAGAGAGAGAGAGAGAGAGAGAGAGAGAGAGAGGGAGAGAAAGAATATGAGGTTTCTCTAGGGAAGAGCATCCTGCTGACATTATCCATAAGGGAAATATGAAGCGGACTTAGTGAAGGGAAGGAAGCGTGGAATCAGCTCAGAACACACCCAGGCACCACATGCTTGGCATGAAGGAGAATTATTACCCCAGAAGACCAAATTGGGAGAGGGTGGGGAGCTGTCTATGGATGGAACAAAAGCAGCAGCAGGTGTCTCTGTAGGAAAGGTTTTTAAGGAGAAAAAAGGGAAGTCTCTACAGATGAGTTGGTAAGTTCTGATTGGACAGGTTACCCAGGGTGGCCAAATCATGAATTTTCACAGCTAGACTTTGGTGTTCAGTCTCAGAAATGAGTCAGAGGCCAATTAAGGTAACTGACCTTTTGGGGATAGATTTAGGAATGTGTTCCTAGCAAGGGAGAGAGAAGGGGAAAGGGCAAAGACTGCTGGTACCATATATGTTGTGCCCAGGCCTGTTAGAACCCTTCAAGTAGGTTCTGTCTCCGTCTTTTTCTGTGAATCCGACAGTAGTAATTATAGAAGACAGGAAGTGAGGGTGGGGCAGGCATTGGAGGAACTGGAGAGATGGAAATGACATAAATATTCACATGTGAAATTCTCATAAAAACAGCTGTTCAAAGCAAAAATAAAGCAACCGACCAAACAAAGAAATGCTATCGCCAGGCAGTGGTGGCACACACCTTTAATCCCAGCACTTGGGAGGCAGAGGCAGGCGGATTTCTGAGTTCGAGAGTTCAAGGCTAGCTTGGTCTACAGAGTGAGTTCCAGGACAGCCAGGGCTACACAGAGAAACCCTGTCTCTAAAAACCAAACCAAAAAAAAAAAAAAAGAAAGAAATGCTATCTACTGTCTCTATGTTTGAGACAGGGTCTCACTATGTAGTCCAGGATATCCTTGAACTTGTGAACCTCCTGTCTCAGCCTCCCCAGTGGCTGTGGGTACAAGCTTGAGCTAGTACACCCTGCTCAGGCTTGTAAGTGATCTCACGGACACTTGCCTACTGCTCCTATGGTAGGGGACGATATCTGCTTTGAGACAGATGGCCTGTCTTTTCCCTATGTAGCTTAGAACGCTCTGGCTTTTGTATCGCTGGCATCCTTCTGTGGCTTTGCGCATGCCCTCTTCCCTCCTTTGCCCAGAGCTGACTTCAGTATGGGAGAGAGGCCTGAACACTATTTTGGTCTCCAAGCTTCCTTACCGCAGTAGGTGACAAGAGATGTTTGTGGTGGTGTTTTTCTTTTTCTTTTTTTCTTTTTTTGTTTTTTGTTGTTTTGTTTTGTTTTTCTAGGTTTTTCAAGACAGGGTTTCTCTGGGTAGCCCTGGATACCCTGGAACTCTCGCTGTGGAGTGGGCTGGCCTCGAACTCAACAGAGATGTGGTTTGATGGCTTCATTTTTAGACAGGATCTCAGGAAGCCCAAAGTGGCCTCAGTAGCCAAGGATGACCTTGAATTTCTAACCCTCCTGCCTCCACTTCCTAAATGCTAGGATTACAGGCACCTACCTCCATGCTCTGCTTTCATGGGTAACAAATTCAGGGCTTTGGGGATAGGCAAACAGCTCCTGAGTTTTGTGTTTAACCCCTTCTTTCCCCAGGCTATCACATAACCAAAAGATAAACCTGTTCTGCTCTTCATTTTAAAACCCCAGTGCAGTACCCAGGACTGGGCATCCAGCAGGCGTTCAGCCTATATATATGCACATGTGTGCAGATGGTACAGCTAGTGTGTGTGTGTGTGTGTGTGTGTGTATGTGTGAGTGTGTGTGTGTGTGTGTGTGTGTGTTGGGGGGCTTGGAGGGGAGGACCTACGGGTGTCTCCCAGAAACCCAGGCATAACTAGGGCGCAGGATCTTGGCCAGCTGAAAGGCTAGTAGGCTGCGGTGACGCTGACGTTGTGTCCAAGTAGGGAGCGGCTGGTCAAGGTCAGTTCCAGGGCCGCTGGAGGGGCGGGGCTCGGGGCGGGGCTCGGGGCGGGGCTCGGGGCGGGGCTGCGAGCCGGGGACAGTGATGGGCACGCCCCGACCCGGGGCCTCCGGGCCGGAAGACGCTCGGACTGCTACAGGTGAGGTCGCTTGGGGCCCTTGTTCCCGCGCGCGACGTGGGGGACAGTAGGCAAGACAGGGGCCGCGGAATTAGGAGGGGCCGTTGCCTAGGATACCCAACGCCGACCCGGGGGACCGGGTTCCTCGAGATTCACTGCCCCTAAATCCCCGCTAAGTCTGTCTGGGAACTTGGGGTCCTGAGGGAGCAAGACTCGCAGGGGAAGCGTGTCAGGCGTGGCCTTGATCTTGGGAGGGGCTCAGGCAGAAGGACTGAGGTCTGAGCGCAGCGGGAGACCCTTAGGGGTTTCAGGGAAAGAGAGCAGGGGCTCATCGATTCAGTGCCTTGTAGGCCTGCTTCACCCCGCCCCCCTGTGAAGGAGGGGTTCTGTCAAAATAAGACCAGCCATGGCTAAAATGACTGAATCCCTTCTCTCTTCTCTCTCTGTCTCTCTGTCTCTCTGTCTCTCTGTCTCTCTGTCTCTCTCTCTCTCTCTCTCTCTCTCTCTCTCTCTCTCTCTCTCTCTCCCTCCCTCTCCCTCTCTCTCCCTCTCTCTCCCTCTCTCTCCCTCTCTCTTTCTCTCTCCCCTTTTCCCCCTCTCCTCTATCTTCCCCTTTCCCATTGCCCCTCTCTCTTTCTTCATCCCCCTCCCTGTTCTTTTCAAGACACTCAACACATCCCCATAGCCCCCTAAGATCACTTTGACCCTGAGATTTAAGGGGGATGTGGGAGTGCTCAGCTGTCCTAAGAGCTGAGGCACCCAGGGGAGGTCAGGTGTAGTTTGAGAAGAAACTTCCAGATCGCCGCATTCAGCACCTATACTCCAAGGCTAGCATCAGCTTCTTGTTTGTTTTTTTGTTTTGTTTTTCGAGACAGGGTTTCACTGTGTAGTTCTGGCTGTCCTGGAACTCACTCTGTAGACCAGGCTGGCCTTGAACTCAGAAATCTGCCTGCGTCTGCCTCCCAAGTGCTGGGATTAAAGACGTGCTAGCATCAGCTTCTAACATGAGCCTGTGTCTGCTGCCAACACACCCCAAGTGCTCAGCCACACTCTTAGAGGAGTTCCCCCAAGGGACTGCATGTCAGCACTGACACAAGTCACCTCCTATTCACTGGGAGGACAGCTCTTCCCAGGACTCCTTGTCCATGAGTGACAGAACTGGGCCTATCAAGTACTGTACAGCCAGTGGGCCTTGTTTGGAGGGAGATCCAGGTCTTCAGTGGCCAGGGCTGGGCAGGTTACTCGGGAGAGTTTGAGTACAGGAGAGTCTATGCCGAAGTGAGCCCTTCATTTCCTTCATTCCTTAGTTCTTTCATCCAGTCTGTTTAGTGTTCCGTGTTCTTCAAGGGTACATTTAGGGGTGCATTCCTCAGCAGCTGGCCCTAGAGTGCTCACTGTCAGCCTGGTCCTTGGTGTCCAGAGAGGGAAGCCATCGTCTCCCTTCCCCAGTGGAAGGGGGAAAGGATGTCATAGCCCCATTGAGTCACACTTCAGTAGCCTCTTCTATCTGGAGTCATGGTCACTGTGGAGTCATGGTGACCCTGTATGTCAGTGTTGAAATCTTCCTTCTGTAGAAGCCAGGATGACTCAAAAGGCTGTGCGGTGTATTTGTGATTTTGGGGGAGTAGTCAGCAGGGTGCCCTCGATTTAACCTGGGTGCACAGGGTCCCTGTGTGTTATCTGAAGCTTGACCTCTGAAGAGCTATGGCAGAAATGTGTTCCAGCAGATTCCTGAAGGTCTCTTTACCCCGGGATCAGGCTGTATGTCTGGCAGAGAGAATGGCTGATAGGCAAGGTCAAGTGTGAACCACGTTGTCTATGTGTGTGTAGGTTTTGGGAGATGGGGCAATGGTAAATTACTTAGGAATTATTTTTTTGCCTGGGATGGGCAGGGGGATGGGACGGGGCCTCATGTAGTCCTTGGCAGCCTCAAACTTACTATAGAACCAAGGCTGGCCTTGAACTTCTGATTCTCCTGCCTCTACCTGTTTAGTGCTGGCATTACAAGCGTGCATCACCACGCCTGTTTGACTCGGACTCAAGCCCAGGACTTTGTACATTCTAGGTAAACACTCCACTGACAACTCACCTAGCACTCAAAAGTTCTTTTCAGCCAGCGGTTCTCAACCTGTGGGTCTCCACTCCTTTGGGGGTCAGAATGACGTTTTCACAGAGGTCACCTGAGACTGTTGGGAAACACATATATGCCTTTTGATTCATAACAGTAGCAAAATTACAGTGACGAAGTAGCAATGAAAATAGTGTTATGTATGGTTGAGGGTCACCACAACCGGAAGAACTGTGTTCAAGGGTTGCAGCATTAGGAAAGTTGAAGACCACTCTTTTAAGCTAATATTTCTGAACCCAGTAGTTTTAATTGAGGTTTTCTGTGCTTCTGTGCTGGGAGTTAAAGCTAGGGTCATCATGACCCAACAGCTCGGCCCATAGCCTTAGACTAAACTTGGAAGCATGTCCACATAAAACCTTACGCACAGATGTCCATCCCCAGAGGCACTGTTCACCACATGCGTGAAGCGAAAGCTAAAGTGTTGGGCAACGCACAAGAATTTGGCTCGGTCATATGATAGTGTTATTTAGTCATGTGAAGAAGGAACACTGACACCATACAAGTCAAGGAAAGGAACCAGATGCGAGAGGTTGTGTGCTGTGTAATTCCACTTGCATAAAACATGTAGGATAGGCAGATCTGTAGAGGTAAGGAACATGAGTACTTACCAAAAGATTTCTCTGAGACAGGTTCCTCACACATTCCAGGCTGGCCTAGAACTCTCTATCCTTCTACCTCAGTGCCCCCGAGGGTTGGGTTTACAGGCGTGTCCTGTCACCCTGTTGAAAGTTTTCTGGATTGATAGCTGTGGTGGTTACGCAATCTGGAAAGTATAGTGACACCTGCCAAATTACACTTTAAATGGTAACTTGTGTGCGTGAATTATATTTGATTAAAGAAATCATGGGGCTGGAAAGATGACCTAGTGGTTAAGAGTACTGGTTGTTTTTCCAGAGGACCCTGGTTCGATTCCCAGTGCCCACATGGTAACTAACAACTGCCTAGAACTCCAGTTCCAGGGGATCTGGCCTGCAGGCGCTGCATGTATGTGCTGTACAGACGTACATGCAGGCATACATGCAGTCAAAACACCCATACACATAGGTAGTAAATAAAAGATTAAAAAAGAAATCATACAGTAATAGAGTTCTCTCACTATTTTCCTTTTTGAGATAGAGTTTTACTCCATATCCCTGAAATTCACTAGTTGAAGCTAGCCTTGAACTTATGTTGATCCTTCTGCCTCTGCTTCTCCTAAATTCTGGGATCACAGGTATGATGTACCATCATATGTAGCTTCCTTGTCCAACTTGTGTGTGTGTGTCTACGTAGACCTGAAGTTAACATTGGTAAATACTTATCTATTTTATTTTTTAAGCGTTGTAGCCGGGCAGTGGTGGCACACACCTTTAATCCCAGCACTTGGGAGGCAGAGGCAGGTGGATTTATGAGTTCGAGGCCAGCCTGGTCTACAGAGTGAGATCCAGGATAGCCAGGGCTACACAGAGAAACTCTTGTCTCGAAAAACCAAAACCAAAACCAAAAAAAAAAAAAAAAAAAAAAAAGCGCGTTGTGGCCTTAGCTAGTCTAGAACTCTCTATTTAGACCAGGCTGGCCTTGAACTCAGATCTGCCTGCTTCTGCCTCCAGAGTGCTAGGACTACAGACCTGTGCCTCCACGCGTTTCTCCCCCCCCCCATTTTTTTTTTAAAGATTTATTTATTTTATGTATGTGAGTACACTGTTGCTCTCTTCAGACACACCAGAAGAGGGCATTGGATCCCATTACAGATGGTTGTGAGCCACCATGTGGTTACTGGGAATTGAACTCAGGACCTCTGGAAGGGCAGTCAGTGCTCTTAATCTCTGAGCCATCTCTCCAGGCCATTTTTTTTTTTTTTTTTTTAATGAGACAGGCTTCTTCTCATCCAGAATCTCATTTGTTTGGTTAGGCCCGCCAAGCAATCACCTTTGGGGCTTGTCTTGTCTCTGCTTACCCAGTGCTGGAGTTACAGTGCAGAGCTTTTAAGTGGGTTCTCGGGATACGAACTCAGGTCCTCACACTTGTACAGCAGACCCTTTACCAGCTGAGCCATCTCCAAGGGCCTATCTCACTCTTGAGGCTCATTTTATCTTTGCAAAACCAACACGTACTTGTTTAGCAAACCAAGCGAGAGAGCTAAGAGAGGAAATAGAAATTCCTCGTTAACTCACTAGTCACGTCATAATGGGCCAGGTCTGAAAAAGGTTGAGCGTTCTTCTGCGGCTCACACCTATGAATTTACAAAGCTGCGGGCCAAAGACAGAGAATGCCAAACATTGCAGCAATCGCACACGTGAACACACACCTAGGTGCTGTGCCTTACTGCTTGAACAGGGCATAAGGCTCTACAGGCAATGATTCTGTTGCTTGACTTTCCCATGGATAAGCCTTTCATGGAAAAATGTTATTCACCCTTTAAAAGGGAACAGGTCAGGGGCAAGCTTGGTGGCACAGGCCTTTAATCCCAGGGCTTCAGAGGCAGAGGCAGGCAGATCCCTGAGAGTTCAAGGCCAGTCTGGTCTATCGAGCAAGTTCCGGGACAGCCAGGCCACAGAGAATAGGTTGTATGAGTATGTGGCAGTTTCTTTTGGAGTCTCCCACCGATGGAGGTTTCTGTGGGTTAATGGAGTCTTCCAGTGATTGTCTGGACTGTTGACCCAGCCTGACTGGCACATAAGAAGACACAAGTATCCAGTCATTCATTCCAGGGCTGCATTTGGGGTCTGCAGCTGGAGGTGGAGGTTCTGCAGCCCAAGACTGTGGTTTTAGGTGGCTGGCCAAGTAGGTCATGGCCCAAGCAAAGAGGAGCCTGCCCCCCACCCCTGTTCCGGAGAGGGGAAGCCAAGAATGGACAGAGAAAAGCCAAGGACAATGAGTGTGTCCAAGTGTTGGGCAAGGAGCTGAAATGTTCTGGAGAGTCACTGGCCTTTTTATCCCCGGAGTGAGGGTGCCAGAGGTCAGTGGAGGAGAGAGACCAGCAGGGAGTGACACAGCCTCCCTTTTTCTTGGCATTTTGCTCTGAGGCCCTCAAGGCTGAGAGACCCAGAACAGCAGTTTGGCTTTAGTGGGGGCTGGTTGGGGTGAGCATAGCAAAGGGTTACATTTGGGGAGAGTTGCTAGGTGCTGAGGAAGGAGGCATCCGGGGCTTGCTTAACCCCTTCCTTTGGCTCAGTAGATGTTGGCACACCCCTCCCAGAAAAGTCGTTCTCAGGAGACGCAAGGGCAGGTTTGTTGGCCAATCTGTCGTGATGCGCTCTTAGTGATGTCTGTGCTGGCCTGTCACCAGCTTTACCCACGTTTTTGCCACATGTATCTTGAACTACCCACTTCTGACCTTACAGCTGACTGCTGGGTCAGGGCAGGACTGAGCCCGCACAGAAGGAGGCAAGCGGAAGATACCCCACCGTGGTCCACCTTATGACCTTCCATGCTTCCAAGCCCTGCTAACCTACCGGTGTCCATTCTTGTTTCTGGCTGAGTACCCATGTCCTCCCGAATATTCACCTTCTATTCGGTTGGCATATTCAGCCTGCTGAATACTAGCAATTAGCTCAGGGTAGCCCTCTGAGGAGTTAAAGGAGAAGAGGGAGCCTGTCAGCGACTCAGTCTCCTAATCTGTCAGATGGGTGGGATGCTGAAGCCTTGGTGTCTTAGAGGCCACTTAGCCAATGAGAAATAACCTCAAGTCCCCTTCAAATCCCCCGATGCAGAGCTCTCCCGGCCCCAGCACCAAGTGTAAACAGCATGAGTTCTAATCATGATCTATCCTGCATGGGCGGGACGATTTGGGAAACAGTCCCGGGGTTTCTATGTCTTAGAATCAATCCTGTGTGTATAAAGCTATCTCATGCATGTCAATGCTGAGCGGACCCTGAGAGCTCTGATTAAAACAGACAAACTAAGGGTTCTCAATTGATGGTTTGGTGATTAAGAGCAGTGGCTGCTCTTGGCTGAACTTGGGTTCCATTCCCAGAGCCCACAGCTCACAACCATCTGTGTAACCCAGCTCCACGGGGATCCCACATCCCCTTCTGGCCTTCCAGGCACCAAGCATGCTGTGGTGCACAGACACACATGCAGGCAAGCACTCAGACACACAAAATAAGATAAATTAATTTTAAAAAGAGTAAAACAAAGCTCAGAGAAGAGTGGGGCTCCCTCTGGCCACACAGATGATCAGATAGTGGGTGGCCCTGTCGTGACACAGTGCCTCCGGAGACAGTCCCAGATGGGCTGGGACATACTCTCTCAAAAAGCTGCTCAGGGGTTTGAGCTTGTCCTTCAAGCTAGGAGTCCATTTCTCTCTCTCTCTCTCTCTCTCTCTCTCTCTCTCTCTCTCTCTCTCTCTCTGTGTGTGTGTGTGTGTGTGTGTGTGCGCGTACGTGTGCGTGTTTACTTGGAGGCCAAAGGTTGTTGGGTGTCATTTCTTAGGAGGTATCCACATTGTGTTTGAGACAGGGTGTCTCACTTGGACCTGGGGCTCACCCATTCCACTAGGCTGGCTGGCCAGTGAGCTCTCGGAGCCCTCCACCCCCACCCCACCGAGTGCTCACTACAGCACCTGGCTTTTTATGTAGGCGCTGTGGCTAGAACTCAGGTTGTCATGCTTGCATAGTAGGCACTTTGCCCGCTGAGCTGCCTCCCAAGACTTCTGGTTTGGTTTGGTTTGGTTTGGTTTGGTTTGGTTTGGTTTGGTTTGGTTTGGTTTGGTTTCTTTGGCTTTTATTAAGATGGGGTTTCTCCGAGTAGTCCCTAGCTGAGTCTGTAAACCAGGCTGGTCTCGAACTCGAACTCGGAGTTCTGCCTGCCTCTGCTTTCCAAGTGCTGGGATTTTTTAAAGTAGCCTTTATGTAGGCCAGACTGACTCTGAACTTGCCATATATATATATGAGGATGACCTTGAGCTTCTGTTCTCCCTGCCTCTACCTCCGAGGTGCAGGGATTGTAGGCACGGACCACTGTGTCTAAGTTACTCCTTTCTTATGTTCCCCAAATGGCACTATTGGTGTCCTTCTCTGAAGCTCACAGAGTAGCTGGGCCTCTCTTTAGCATTTCTGTCCCTAGAGTCCCTTCCTGTGACTTGGCCCAGGTTGGAGGAAGTCTGATGTCCTCTGGTCTGAGACAGTACCACCCAGCTACCCTTTCCCAGCTGTCTAGACCTCAGCTGCAGGGATGTGACCCTTACATGGGTGGGTGGCTCCTTCTACACTGGCAACCCCTCAGGCTGTCTCAAGGCCACTTGGTATGTTCGTCTCTGGAGACAAATCCCAGTCTCTCATAGGGGCAGACTCCAGGATACTGACGTGGCCCTGACCACTTCATGGAGGTACTGGGTGGGAGCCCGGGCAACTTGAGCCTGTGTTTCCCTCTGGGCTCAGCAGTTCTGTGTTTAGTGCCCTAGACTGTTGCTTTCCTTTGCCTGATGCCTCCACATCTGGCTCTGGGCCAAAGGCTATGGAATTTGAGCACCCAAGGGTTCAACTAAGGTTTCTTCTCAGTTGGCTGGAACTGGGTAGCCCGCCTCAGTCCAGGGGTGAGCCTCAAGCTCGGGCCACACCCATCGTAGACACACTCCTCAGATGCTTGATCTCTTGTCTCTCCTCAAAAACCTCCCCCAGGGCTTGTTCTCCCCTCAGCACCGTCTACCTGATAGCTAGTGTTTTTCTAACCCCTTTTCCTCACTTCAGATAGTCATGAGGTTTTTCCCAGCAGGCCTTTCTCTCCCACTTCTATGTCTTAGATCATATCCCCTAGCTGTCCCTGGGTGTGTGTGTGGGGGGGGATTGCTGCTTTAGAGAGACCCACCCCACTGCAGGCTCCTCCCCCTATACCTTACTGGCCTTGGCTCATGCCATGCAATCTTAATCTTTTTGTGACATTGTTACAGAATGCCTCTTTTTCATTTATAATGAGCAGAACACTTATGGGCTCACGGTTCTGTTTTTTTTTTGTTTTGTTTTGTTTTTTGTTTTATTTCTTTTCTTTCCAAGACAGGGTTTCTCTGTTTAGCAGTCCTAGTTGTCCTGGAACTCACTTTCTAGACCAGGCTGTCCTTGAACTCACAGAGCTACGCTTGCCTCTGCCTCCTGAATGCTAGGATCAAAGGTATGCGTCACCACACCCAACTTGCTCGTGGTTCTAAAGGCTAGAAGTCCAAAGTTAAGGTGTCAGCCTCTGGCACGAGCCTTCCTGCTGCACCTTCCTGTGGGGAAGGCAAAAAAGAACAAGTTGCCATACTTGAAGCATCTGGGCCTGATTTTTAAAAATTACATTTATGTTTTCATGTTATTTATTTTGTATGTGCACACATGTGTGAAGGTGTGTGTGTGTGTGTCCATATGTGCACTTGTCAGGGTGGATGTGTGGAGGACAACTTTCAAAAGTTGATTTTCATCATGAGAGAGCTGGGGATTGAACTCTTGTTGGCAGGCTTGGTGGCAGGCCCTTTTACCAGCTAAGCCATCTCACCGGCCCCTCAGCATCTTTTATAGTTAGCAAATATCTATTCATAGGTGGGACTTTCGTGACCTAAACACCTTCCATGAGGGTCAACTCTCCGTTGTCATGTTGGAGATTATGTTTCCAATGTGTGCTCGTTGAGGAACACAGTAAGCCATAGTAGCATCCTATGTTTCAAGATGCTTACCATAGGCCGTCAGTGGCTCCCTTTAATCTGGGGCTCACGCTGGTGACCTAGGCTCCCAGCACAGTGTCATTCCAGTATTTGTAACATGGAAGTTAAAGGATTTATTTTCCATGAGATGTGGCTTCTTCGGTTCCCCACAGGCAAAGCTACTATTTCTTGTTCACCTACCTGCCCAGCTTCCTGCGTGGTTTTTGCTATGTGGTTTCTTTGATGTTCTAAACTCTGCTTTTTAAGAGAAGATTTATTTAGTAATTACTACTGTATGTGTATGATATTGTTGGGGAGGGGCATGCATTGTCAGAAGATAACTTTTGGGAGAACCAGTGTTCTTCTACGGTGTTCTGGGGATCAAACACTGAGGTCATTGGTCTTCCCCACTTACTATGTCACCTTGCTCATCTGAGCTCTGCTTCTGAGGCTGGGGGTCACGCCTGTCTGTCTGACCCCATGATCCACAGCAAGAGTGTACTCTGTATGTGTATGTCAAGTAGACATTGCTTCCTCTTCGGAAATCTCTGATGCTGTACATTTAGGAAAGACAAATTGAAGAACAGTTTGATAGTCATGACCGTGGTGTATAGAATGGCTCTGGGGAGGGTCGGGACGCCTCCAGAGGAGGGAGCTGGTGTTTTTGGTGGGGTGAGAGCAGACTGTTCCCTATTCTTTTTTTTTTTTTTTTTTAATATTTATTTATTTTATTGATGAGTACACTGTAGCTGGCTTCAGACACACCAGAAGAGGGCATCAGATCTCATTACGGATGGTTGTGAGCCACCATGTGGTTGCTGGGATTTGAACTCAGGACCTCTGGAAGAGCAGTCAGTGCTCTTAACCGCTGAGCCATCTCTCCAGCCCCGACTGTTCCCTATTCTTATTTAATTTAATTCTGTGTCCACGGAATTGGAATTTTGTAAATTTCGTGGGACTGGGGAGACAGCACAGTGGTTAAAGCAATTGCCACACCAGTGTGGTCACTGAATTTGGATCCTCGGCACCCAATAAAATGCCAAGTGAGCGTGGCAGCCCACGTGCAATTCCATCCCTAAAAGGGCAGAGAGACAGGGGATCCTGTCCTAGCTAGACTAGCCAAATTGGTTAGCTCTGGGGAAAACGCCTGCTGACACCTGTCTCTTGCCATGGACACCCCTTCCCTCCTGTTCCCCGGAATCTGATGTAGTATCTTTTCGCAGCCCAGAAGTGCCAAGATCAAGATGGGGTCCCAGGTCTCCGTGGATACAGGAGCTGTCCATGTGGTGATCGTGGGCGGGGGCTTTGGAGGGATAGCGGCCGCCAGCCAGCTGCAGGCGCTGAATGTCCCCTTCATGCTGGTGGACATGAAGGACTCCTTCCATCACAATGTGGCAGCCCTCCGGGCTTCCGTGGAGAGCGGTGAGTTGCTCCTTTGCAAGCATAGTCTGGTCTGTGATGGGTATGATGTCAGGGCTGGGGCCATTTTCTCTGTATTAGGGCAAGTTCCTCCAGGCTTTGGATTCATTCCGGAGAAGCTCAAGCCACCAGTCTTAAGTGTCTCCTATAATGAGGCTTTAGAGAAAGCCTGGGTTCTTCTGAGGACCAGACGGGCACTTCAGGACAGAGTGGACTCCTGGGTATACCCACTGGCCTGGCTGTGGCCAAGAGCACCCTTGTGGGTATATGGCTGGGGAATTCTTCAATCCTGTTCTACTCCTGACATCTTCTGTGCCCATTCCCAGGGTTTGCCAAAAAGACATTCATTTCTTACTCGGTGACCTTCAAGGACAACTTTCGCCAGGGCAAAGTGATTGGCATAGACTTGAAGAACCGGATGGTATTGCTCCAGGGTGGCGAGGTGAGTATGTGGGGGTCGCTCTGGTGGGATTGGGTCCTCTCAGGGTGCAAGAGGAGTTATCCGTGGGCTCCAGGCCTGCTCGCCACTCAAAAGTACATTCTTTATCATGTTGGTCACAGCAGACCTAAGAAGATGGTGGCTGGGGCTGCCTGAGTCTTTCCTACATGCCAGCAGGCACTGTCCTGAGCGTTTACATAAGTGCTATTGTCTCCTCTTTGACATGATAGAGGGAAGGTTCTAAACGATCAGAGAGAGGAATTGGGATGGGGCTCCATTAGCAGAGTTCTTGCTAGCGTGCATGAAGCCCTGGGGTTGGTCCTCAGCATGGAGCACGGTGCATGCCATGTAATTCCGTGTTACATGGGAGCCGGAGGCAGGAGGTTAGATAGTCAAGGTCACATCCTTAGCTACACAGCCTGGGCTACACAAGACCCTGTCTCAAAAACAAAAGACCAGGGCTGGAGAGATGGCTCAGTGGTTAAGAGCATTGGCTGCTCTTCCAGAGGTCCTGAGTTCAATTCCCAGCAACCACATGGTGGCTCACAACCATCTGTAATGGGATCCGATGCCCTCTTCTGGTGTGTCTGAAGATAGCTACAGTGTACTCATATGCATAAAATAAATACGTGAATCTTAAAAAAAGTCCAGAAGATTCCAAATTGGAGGTGTAAGTCCTGCTTATTGGCCCCTCCCCAGGCATTCTGCTGGGGGGGGGCTCTCTCATCCCACACTGGCTAGCTATCCACCCCATGTTTCCTTAGGTGTTTCTTAGCTTCTGGTACCTTACACGACCCCCATCAGTGTGGTATTTTCTTGTCTTCTAACAGAACTGGCCAGAGCCTCGTCTCTGCAATGCTTCCTGACCACCGGTGTCCTGAGGGTGGAGGAGAGGCCCGGTCACTCCTTCCTGAGGACCGGTGTCCTGAGGGTGGAGGAGAGGCCCGGTCACTCCTTCCTGACCACCGGTGTCCTGAGGGTGGAGGAGAGGCCCGGTCACTCCTTCCTGGCCACCGGTGTCCTGAGGGTGGAGGAGAGGCCCGGTCACTCCTTCCTGGCTTACTCTCACATTTCTTTTTCCTTATCTCCTCCAGGCCTTGCCCTTCTCACATCTTATTCTGGCCACAGGCAGCACTGGGCCCTTCCCAGGCAAGTTTAACGAGGTGTCCTGTCAGCAGGCAGCCATCCAGGCCTATGAGGACATGGTGAAGCAGGTATGTCATACTAACAGATGTGAGGCAGGGTGGGCAGGCTGGAGCGCAGTGGGCCACAGCCAGGGCTCGGTTCGGGAGACTGTGGGAAGACATTGCTGCTGGATAAACAGCCTTGGAGGAAGCCCAGTTGCAGGGAGATTCTCCCAGAATTCCTGTGTGTGATGTGCTGGTACGTCACCAGCTTGTCTCACCTGCTACCCCCTTGTATAGGCATGTCTCCCACCTCACCTGCTTTGTGTGGCTCCATGCGACCTGGTTCCCCAGTGATCTTTTGAGGTGGGGAGAAGGTCCACCTGGAGCCCAAATATGGAGAGAGTTCAGCCCTTCTTTGGCCACGAAGGTGTGTCGGTGTTTCACGGTCCCTCCTTCTGCAGATCCAGCGCTCACAGTTCATCGTGGTGGTGGGAGGCGGCTCTGCTGGAGTAGAGATGGCAGCGGAGATTAAAACCGAATATCCTGAGAAGGAGGTGAGGCTAGACCCCTTGGCTATAAACTCTTAGCAGACAGCTGCTTTGCTTGCTTTCTTTTTATTTTTAGAGAAAAAAAACCCTATGTATTATGTATGTTTGTTTGTTTATTTATTTAGTGTTGTGTGAGTGTATGTATGTGTACATGCACAAGTGCCATTGTGAGTGTGGCAGTCAGAGGATAACTTGCTCAAGTCGGTTTTCTCCTTCCGCCTGGTGTACCCTGGGGATCGAACTCATGCAGTCAGGCTTGGGGGCAAGCACCTTTACCCGACCAGCCATCTCGCCACCCCAGCAGGACCAGGACTTTGCCAAGGCCCTGGGAGACTGTAGCTCTGCTTGCATAAGCAGAATATGTTTCCCATCTTGTACAAAAAGCAATTCTGCGAGCCATTTTCCCACGCAGTGAGGGAGAGCCTCCTGCTTAGACTCTTGGCTGTGGAGAGCCCTGACTGTGGGGAGAGGAGGGCCAGGGAGATGTCCCATAGGCCCAAGCTCCCACGTCTCCCTTAGGATGATGCCTGGATGTTCTTTGATAACCTCTTTTTGCTGTGAGGCTTCTTGGTGTGTTTGATTGACAGCCCTCACCCTGGACAGCCATGTGGAGGTCCATGCTCAGGGCATTGGGAGAGCTACCCACACCAGGGAAGGACTCAGTCTCAGTTTCTTCTACCCATGGAACGGTGGCAACAGCTTCCCCTGACTCTTAATGCTGGAGAGATAGGAACCAAGCTGGCACCTTAGAGAGAGAAGGGTCTAAGCTTCTTAAATGGTAAAGGTTAAATGATAGATGTACTTCTGCAGGCCAGGGCCTCCTGGTACCTCATGTGGGTCAGCCTCAGCTCATGTGGGTCAGCCTTGGCTCATGTGGGTTAGCCTTGGCTCATGTGGGTCAGCCTTGGCTCCTGTGGGTTAGCCTTGGCTCCTGTGGGTTAGCCTTGGCTCATGAGGGTCAGCCTTTTCGAGCCACACAGAGCCCATGAACAGCACTCTCCTCCCTCAAGAGAGCCGGTTGGCTTTGAAAAGGAAAATCAATCCGGGGTAATTGAATTATATGCTTACTCTCTGACAAATGGCTGGAAATTATGGTGACTGATGGATGTAGTTAAAGTATTCATTTTGATGCATGAGTGTTGTGTAGGGGAAACGCGCCGTCTGCTGCTTGTTCTCAGTGCTTCTCTGGTGAGAAGAGCAGGTCTCTCCCAATACTGACCAGTCCTCCTAACACCAGTGGGTTATCCCACAATGCTCTTCAACTCCAACTCCCTGGGATCAGCACATACCATAGATCAAGCCCCACAAGGCTGTTTGCACCGCAGATGACTGTGGAGTGGTAGGTCCCAGGCTTACCAGCACTGCCGCCTGACCCAGCCATAAATGGGAAGTTCCTCCCAGCGGGCTTTACAGTGGCCAGAGTGTCTTATAGACCCCAGAGATGCAGCTTGCTTACTGTCTTCGGGTGTCATTACTGTGAAGAGACATATGGCCATAACAGCTTTTGTGTTAAGAGATTTTTTTTATTTGTATTTTATGTGTATGGGTGCTTTGCCTACATGTATGTCTGTGCACCATGAGAATGCAGTACATGTGGAAGCCAGAGGCGGGCCTAGGATCCCCTTAAACTGGAGTAATAGACAGTTGTGAGCTGCCATGTGGGTTGTGGGGGAATCTAACCCAGGTCCTCTATAAGAACAGCAAATGTTCTTAACCACCGAGCCATCCAGTGAGCCTCTCCAGACCTGACCACGACAACTCTTATAAAGGAAAACATTTAACTGAGGCTGGCTTACAGTTCAGAGGTTCAGTCCATTGTCATCATGGCGGGAAGCATGGCAGCATCCCAGGCAGACATGGCGCTGGAGAAGGAGAGCTGAGAGTTCTACATCTGGATCTGCAGGATGAGATAGTGAGACACACTTGGCCTGCCTTGTGTTTCTGAAACTTCAAGACCCACCCCCAGTGACATACTTCCTCCAATAATGCCACACCTCCTAATAGCGTGAGTCCCTGAGTTTATGGGGCCATTTTTTATTCAAACTACCACACTTAGCATTGCTGACTTACCTACCACAAAGGATGTTTTAAAGGACACAGATGGGGCTGGAGAGACGACTCAGTGGTTAAGAGCTCATTGCTTATGCAGGGGACCCAGGTTTGGTTCTCAGCACCCACATCTGAGGCTCACACTGCCCGTCACTCCAGCTCCAAAGGATCTGATGCCCTCTTCTGGACTCAACAGGCACTGCACTCAGGTGCACATATCCGCAACCAGACACCTATACATGTAACTAAAAATTAATAAAGTAAGCCTTTAAGAACATAAATGAACAGCCAGATAAAGAAGACCCAAGCACAGGGGCTTCTTTCTCCCTCAAATTGGGGTGTGCCACCTGGCCACGGTCATGCATGTAGAGGCCCTCTAAGCCCTGAAGGCCTAATTGGGAAGCCATGATGGACCGTGGATCTCCCAGATCTAGCTCCCTTCTGTCTCCTGGGGGATTGGGGTAGGGACTGGAAACTCCCATCATGGTTTGAGTCTGAGGCTGTTGTCTCATCAGAATGAAGGATGAGTCTGTCACTCTGGAAGTTCCAAGGCATTCAGCAGTTTTATCATTCAGAGAATCACAAAGAGCTCAGAAGTTCTGAGTTGGGAATTGCAGCCAAATATCAGAACACACGGCGTTCCCAGCACCAGCAGGGCTTAAGAGCTCTGTGCCAGCGGCCAGGGACAGATGGGGTTATTCTTGCCAAGCCTCAGGGGCAAAGACTGAAGTAGTACATTTCAGCTAACTCGGTATGAGATCTGTGTTGCATAGGTAGGCATGGAAGAGCCCTATAGACCCACCCACTGTTGTGGGGTTGGCGTGTACCAAGCTACCTTCTTTATCATATTTTTATTTAGAGCCACGCACAGTGGCACACACCTTTAATTTCAGCACCTGTGAGGCACAGTCAGGAGGATCTCTGAGTTTGAGGCCAATCTGGTCTACCTAGCTAGTTCTGGGACAGCCCGGGCTACATAGAGCAGTGGTTCTCGACATTCCTGATGTTACAACCCTTTAATATATTTCCTCATGGTGTGCTGACACCCAACCATAAAATTATTTTCGTTGCTACTTCCTAACTGTACTTTCGCTATTGTTATGAATCATCATGTAAATTAAATATCTGATATTTCTGATGGACTTAGGTGACCCCTAAGAGTTGTGATCCACAGGTTGAACCACTAACACAGAGAGATCCTGTCTCAAAAAAAAAAAACAAAATAAAATAATTTAAAAGTTTTACTTAGCTGGGCGGTGGTGGTGAACACCTTTAATCCCAGCACTCAGGAAGCAGATTCAGGCAGATCTCTGAGTTCGAGGCCGGTCTGGTCTACAGAGTGAATTCCAGGACAGCCAGGGCTATACAGAGAAACCCTGTCTTTAAATAAATAAATAAATAAATAAATAAATAAATAAATAAATAAGATAAGCAAGCAAACAAATCAATAGATAGAACTTGGTTAGTGTTGCTATCAGGCTGGTACTCACATTGGAATGCCAGCAGCTTATGTGGTGATTATACATTTGTATATCCTGAAAGAACTGTCCCTTTGCCTTAGGTGAGGTGTGGGTTTGTACAGGGACACATGGCTGATCCTCTGCTTTAGGGGCACTGAGTAATGGGTACTGAGGTGGGCTGGGGCCCTGAACCCAGCAGAGTTCCTAGCTGATGCTCGGTCTCCTCAGTATTACGTGGGAAGTAGAAGAGGAGACGCAGAGGCTTCCCTCTGAAGCCCTGTGGGTTGTTTTTTTTTTTTTTTGGTCCCAGGTCACTCTTATCCACTCCAGAGTACCCCTGGCTGACAAGGAGCTCCTGCCCTGTGTGCGGCAGGAAGTGAAGGAGATCCTCCTCCGGAAGGGTGTTCAGCTGCTGCTGAGTACGTGAGACTTTGCCCCTCTTGCCCAGCTCCCCCACCCCCAGCCCCCTTCTCCAACTGCTGATACATTGCCCAGAGCCCCAGCCATGGCTGCTGGTAGGGGTGGTACATCCACACAGGCTCCGTCTTTCCCACTGTATCTGGAGAGCAGCAGGCATCTCAAGCATCAGAGTCTGCTTGAGCTGTGTCCACCTGGAGTCACAGGGTGCAGCAGTTCCCCGCTGTTACTTAGGACAGGGACAGGTGGATGCTATTTACTGACTGAGTTATGTTCTTCTAAAGCATTGGCCCATGTTTTCATTTTTGATGTCTCTGTGTAAGAGAGAACAGACTTGTAATCTGAGGCATTGCGTGTGTCTTAATTCCTTCCTTCCTTCCTTCTTTCCTTCCTTCCTTCCTTCCTTCCTTCCTTCAAGGTTTCTCTGTGTAGCCCTGGCTGTCCTGGAACTCACTCTGTAGATCAGGCTGGCCTCAAACTCAGAGATCCGCCTGCCTCTGCCCTCTTAAGTGCTGGGACTAGAGGTATGCACCACCACTGCCCTTCTTGAGTGTGGCTTTATGTCCAGAGCTGGAAAAGACAGAACTTCCCAGCGTTTGGAGTGGGATGACACCTGGGTGTCACCTTCATGTCCTCTCTGAAGGCTGTGAGGCGGTTGCCGTGGAAACCCCTCTCAGCTATCACAGCCTCCATTGGTAACTGGTCATGGAGGACTGGAAGCACTTTACTTTCAGACAGGTTTCCTCACTTTCTCTGCTGTTTGCCATCCATCCATCCATCCATCCATCCATCCATCCATCCATCCATCCATCCTTTAGTAATTTTTTTATGTTTTGTCTGTGTACCATGAGTGTTCCTGGTGCCTATGGAGACCAGAGGAAGGGATCAGATCCCCTTGAACCGGAGTTACAGATGGTTTTTAGCTTCTGTTTGGATGGTGGGAATCAAATCTGGATCTCCTGGAAGAGTACCAGTGTTCTTAACCACTGAGCCCTCTCTCCAGCCCCGCCATATATATGTCTATATTTAATTTTGAGAAAGAATATCTCGTGTAGACCACTGTCTGGCCTTATGGCCTTAAACTGTGTAGCCAAGGAGACCTTTGAGCGTCCAATCCTCCTCCCTCCATTTCCAGAGTACTGGCATACACTATGCTTAGTTTATGTCGTGCTGGAAATAGACACAGGGCTCTCTGCATGTTCTTCAAGCCCAATACCAACTGAGTCCTTTCTCTGCTTTCTGGTGTATGTTGTACTGAGAGGCCTTCTGCTTAGGATGGGCAAGCTGTCGTTCCGAGAAGGAAGGGGCCTTCCGTTGAGTGGTGTTTCCTCGAACGTGGGAAGCTTGGCTTTGCTTCCCTCTCACAGCTTCCTGGAACTTTCCTTCAGAAGGATCCCTTGGGGACATATGTCCAGATCCTCCTGCTCAGGAGAGTGGATGGAGGGAGAGTCATGAGGGAGTACTCTCTTTCCCCTTGGTCTACCGGGGTGTGTGCTGGCTTCTGCCAGCTTCCTGTCACGGAACCCTCCACAGGTGAGCGGGTGAGCAACCTGGAGGAACTGCCTCGCAATGAGTATCGGGAGTACATCAAGGTGGAGACGGACAAGGGCACGGAGGTGGCCACCAACCTGGTGATTGTGTGCACCGGGATCAAGATCAACAGCTCTGCCTACCGCAGTGCCTTCGGTGAGTGAGTGGCCCAGCGGTTGCTCTCTAAGCTGCTCTGGCATTTGCAGTCCTTGCTACCTGAACCAGCACCCCGTGTCTCTTCCTTTTATCCTAGAAGTTCATTAGACCTAGAACTTTAAATTCAGGTGAGCCAAGCCCAGCTGCCCCTCACCCCCAGCTTGGAGGCCAGAATCCCCCGAGATGAGTGCTTCCCCCTAGTGGGGAGAGATGGGAACAGGCTTCAGAGAGGTGAGAACAGCCTCTCTTTTCCTGTTGCTTTCGTTGAGGAAGCCCAGGAAGTCCCAGGTCAGGCTTTTCTCCAGCCACAGGTACCCTGCCCTCTCCAAATCCAGATCCAGGCCTTGGGCCACTTCATTCTGAACCTTCGTTTGGAGGAGTCAGGACCTTAATGTGGCCTCATCTCTTAAAGTTCAGTAGTTAGACAGTGGACTGATGCATATTTAAGTATCTACACAGGAGAGTAAGACTCGGGGGCCAAGCTCCATGGTCGCTCGGCATCTCAGGTACCTGTCATTCACTGCCAACATCCTTCCCTGATCAGTCTCTGCCACATCCAACAGGAAGTTAGTTCTCAATCCAGAAGGAAGCCAGTCCACAGGGGTAGTGGACAAAAAACCCAGGGTTTAGCATCTCATTATTCTGTTGTATTTCCAAAGCTAAGTTCTTTTCAGTCCCTTTAAGGGAAGCTGTTTGTCGTTTAGGAAAGGGTTATGTGTGTTCTGAAATTGTGATGGATGTTCCAAAGGCAGTTAAAGACTTAGGAAGCCGGGGGACTTGCAGAGTTTTGTGGTTTGTATTGTTTTGTATGAGGGGGTTTTCCAGTGCTCTGTCTCTGTTCTTGTGGGTTAGGCTTGCTTCGGCAGGCAGGGTCTTGGGTGCGGACTTCAGGCTGGATAACAGCAGGTGGGGGTGTTACTTCTTCTTCTTCTTCTTCTTCTTCTTCTTCTTCTTCTTCTTCTTCTTTTTTTTTTTTTTTTTTTGGATTTTTCAAGACAGGGTTTCTCTGTGTAGCCCTGGGTATACTGGAACTCACTCTGTAGACCAGGGTAGCCTCAAACTCAGAAATCCGCCTGCCTTCTGCCTCCCAAGTGCTGGGATTACAGGCGTGTGCCACCACCACCTGGCTGGGGGGTGTTTCTTCTTACCATATATTTCCGAGGTGACTGGACCCACTCCCTACACTCATCCCTCTATTTCGGAGGCGACTTAACATGGCATCATTTTGTCCAGCAGAGAGTAAGCTGGCCAGCAACGGTGCTCTGAGAGTGAATGAGTTCCTCCAGGTGGAAGGTTACAGCAATATTTATGCCATTGGTGATTGTGCTGATATCAAGGAGCCCAAGATGGCCTATCATGCTGGCCTGCACGCCAACATTGCCGTGGCCAACATTGTCAACTCCATGAAGCAGAGGCCCCTCAAAGCCTACAAGCCAGGTGAGGAAAGCGTGGGTACCTTAAGGTTGCTGAAGTTTGGGATTAGATATGCAGAGGGTTTTGGGGTCTGTCGGGTGAATGACCACTGGATTGCAGGCCTCGGTACAAAGTCTCTTTAAAACCAAACATGCCATTGGCTGTAGCTTGGTGGTAGAATTCTTGCCTGGCACACTGAAGCCCCGGGTCTCACTGGTAGCATTGCTAACAAAAGAGGCTGGGGAGATGGCTCAGTCGGTGAAGTACCTACAGGGAGGATCCTAGTTTGATGCCTAGAACACATATTAAGAAAAAGACAAAAGACTTGGCCCTTGTGATCAGTAGAAAAATAAAATCCAGTTTTAAAGAAAACCGTGAATATCACCTGAAGAATGACAGCTCAGGTTGTCCCCTGCTCTGCACTACACAAACACACGCACCAAACATCTGATTTGCTTTCTTAAGGGCATGCATGGTTGCTGTACACACACACATACACACACACACACACACACACACGACTTGCTTTCCTAAAGGGTATTATGCATGGCTGCCTGCTGGAGTCTCAAGCATCATCTTGCTTTGTGTGTCTGCCTCCTAGGTGCACTAACATTCCTCCTGTCCATGGGCAGAAATGATGGCGTGGGCCAGATCAGTGGCTTCTATGTAGGCCGCCTCATGGTGCGGCTGGCCAAGAGCAGAGACCTTTTCATCTCCACAAGCTGGAAAACCATGCGGCAGTCTCCACCATGACGGGGAGGCTGCATGGGAGTCGAGGTACCGCTCGGAGGGGTGACAGACTGCTTGACAAAAGGACACCCTTCTGACAGGTGCCAAGGGCAGAGCTCTTTGTCTGGATCATGGTGTCAGTCATGTGCTGGCTGGAAATACAATTTGGGGTAAAGCCGGGAATGAGAGACAGAGAGTAAAGGGGGGAGGCATTAAAAAAGAAAAAATTAACCTAGAAGATTCGTTCCGGGTTTGGAAGGTCCGCCTGAAGCTGTGCTAGCTAAAGGGTCTCGGGGAGGCAGAGGGAGCTTCCCGTACTGTAGGCTTCTGTCTGTGTGTACACACAAAAGCATCGGGCTTTGGGAGAACTGTTCAGAGCTCTTGTTAGGCAGAGCTGGGCTCCTCTAGCTGGCACGGCATCTGTAGTATAGTAAAGAGAGCCCGGAGCACAGGACCAAGGAAGGAAGCTCCAACCATGGAGCTTGGCCCCTGAGTCTATGTAGTCTATGTGCTGGGGTGGGGAAGCTTGTATATCTCACAGTAAGTAGGTTTTTAACTGGGGCCTCATTTTACTCTCCCTAACTGTGGTTAGCATCTGCACTCTGTGCTCTCTCTCTCTCTCTCTCTCTCTCTCTCTCTCTCTCTCTCTTCCCCCCCCCCCGCAACAATACTCACACAGCCCCCACAGTGTCTACTACAATATTCAGATTGGCCTCAAACTCCTGAGCTCAAATAATGCTCCTGCCTCAGTCTTTTCTAGTACCTTGGGACCGTCTTTGTTTTGCTTTGTTTTTGATTTTTCAAGGCAGGGTTTCTCTGTATAGCCCTGACTGTCCTGGAACTCACTCTGTAGATCAGGCTGGCCTGGAACTCAGAAATCCGCCTGCCTCTGCCTCCCAAGTGCTGGGATTAAAGGTGTGCGCCACCACTGCCTGGCTTATTGGGACTGTCTTTAACCTTCATGAGCCTTTATCTCCATGTTCGGCTGACTGTGTCCGAGGTATACTTATGAAGAGTCAGACAAAATTCCTCTCTAGCTCACTCATCTGTTGCTGAAATCTATTTGGAAGGGGTGGGGTAGGGTGGGGACTATAAACCACATCTGTCCCTTCTCCTGAGGTCTCAGTGACAAACTGAGGCAGGGTTCTATCGAACTTTAGGAAACCAGTGAATTTATTGGGCTTCCTTACTGGCTTCTCCCAGGACAGGCCAAACTGGAAAGCTTTAACCAGCTGGGATAAGAGCCTCATCAGTCCGAGGCAGTAAAGATGGAGCGCCTCTCTCCCTAGCCTTCCCTAGACTCCATGCCCAAGCCCCTCCTTGAGGCCAGATGCAGTGTCATTAGAGCAGAGTTGTGTACCACAGATGGTAGGGAGCCGCTGGATACACAGATGAGTCTCCTGATTCTCCGCACCAGTCCACAATCAGATAAAATAGCCAGCAAGGCCCGCTGGGAGAATCCTTTTAAAAGGGAGAGCGCTGAACTGCCCAGGATGGTGGTTGCTTGACTGTGGGGACAGTCACTCAAACACCATCCTCACAGGGTGAGGTTTATAAGTCTGGAGAGGCGGAAGCCCGGCTGGCTGCAGGGATCCCAGGATGGAGACCTGTTCCTGGGGGAGGGTCTAGCCCGCTTGATCTCCAGAGACCAGAGGGGCATCTCTGGATGATTCCTAGTGATTTCCTGGTTACCAACAGGCTGCTGTTGGGGGGTGGGGGTGGGGGAGCTATGCTGCTCATTTCCTGGCCAGCTCCTGTCACTTGGGCCCTCGTTGGTCACCATGTCTGCTATAGGTCGCTCAGGTGTATGAAGTATATGAAGGACTTCTCTATCCGAGAATAGCCACTTGTGCATGTGCTAACGTGAATGCCTATAGCAGAAGAGGCTGGGAGTCCACTCCAGGGATGCAGGCATGACTCTCCCCACCCTACCTCCTCCTGCTTACTTTTTGGGCCTTGGCCTCTGGTTATGGGTGGCAAGAGTCCTTGAGATATCAGCCTCTCTGGTGCTTCCAGCCCATCCCCATTTCGGCTGTGACCAAGGTCTGTTCCAGACTGGAGTTGAGACTTGACTTTCTCTCCCAGAGACTGACCACCCGCCGGCAGCTTTGCTCCCTGGCTCCACTGTCAGCAGTCCGTGGATGCCAGCCAGCAAGCTCGCCCTCCCTGAGGGGCAGGATTAACTATCTGCAGGAAGCCTGCCATGCTGCTGTCTGGCCAGGAGCTTTACAGAGCATACCTGGACTCTTCAGTGGCAGGCCTTGTGTTATTTCTTTACCACACTCTGGATGAATCTATCTGTGGGGACACAGTTTTCCAAGAGGAGGAGAATATCGCAATAAAGGGCTATGTTATAAGAAAGACGCTGGATCTTTTATTTTTTTTCTTCTCATTTTTCTTTTTTCTTTAAAAAAACAAAAAAAATGAACAAACAAAAATCCCGAAGCAAAACCCTTTTAGGCGTAGTTACAAATATTTTAGGCATCAGGGAGGGGACCCTATAACAGGAAAGCACCCCATGATGTTTTTCTCATCTTCTCTCCACTGAAGGAGACAGCCAGTATACCTAGGTTAGACAGTCACGTCCTTTTCACTTGGAAAAAGGAGGAACCAAACACGTAGGAACTTTGAACGGATTTTGTGTGTGTGAGAGAGTGTGTAAAAGTCAAAGCTATAAATCTAAACAAGGTCTATTTTTATGTTTGTTTGTTTTAAAAAAAGTTCTAAAACAACAGGAAGAAAAACACATGAAAAGAAACCCCTGGTGGAGACCTGGTTAATTGTGGAAGAGAGGCCCTTTGTAAAGAGAATATAAAATGCACTGGGCCCCTTCCCCAGGCAGGCAGGACCTGTTCCGGCTGCCTCCGCTCTCCCTCTCAGCCACCCGCTCTGCTCCCATGCCCCGTCACCCTTCTGCAATCGTTTTTAAAAAATAAAACCCCCGCTCTAGTGACGTCACACTGATGCGCCTCCTGCCCCGCTGGAGAGAGCTACTTGTGACGTCACACTGATGCGCCTCCTGCCCCCATGGAGAGAGCTACTTGGTGTCCAGTTTGGCCATCTCCTGCACGTAGATGCCGATGCTCTCGCTGTCGAAGAGCAGGAAGTACACGTTCTTCAGCGAGGACGAGCTCGAGTCGTCGAAGTGGGCAGAGATGGCCTTGAGGGTCACCTGGGCGGCCGTCTGTTTGGGAAAGCAGTTTCTATGTCCAAGGAAAAGAAGAGCCCGCGTCATTTTGGTCCCTGCACCCACTGGGTTAATTCTCTCCTAGTCTGGGGAGAGGGAGATCAATCGGCCCCTTTTAGTTTTTGTTCTGACAGGGTCTCGCTATATAGCCGTGTCTGGCCTGGAACTCACTGTGTAGACCAGGCTGGCCTCGAACTCAGAAATCCACCTGCCTCTGCCTCCCAAGTGCTGGAATTAAAGGCGTGAGCCACCACTGCCCGGCGGAGTCCAACCTCTTCCACCGAGCTGCAGTGAGAGCCTCCACCGCTCCCGGTTCAGTTATCAAAGACCCAGGTTCTTCCCTTCCTGTCCTGAGCATTCCCTGGGGGGTCTTGAACAGGTCTGGGGTCCTGATTTATAACCAGGGGCTGCTGCTGCTGCTATTGGTGGTGGTTCAGAGACCACACTTTGATTAGCCTGTCTGTGAGCCTGGGGCTTTCTGATTGTGTGTTCTACCTGAGGGCCAAAGGTGGGGCTGTGGGGTTTGAATATAGCAGGTTTTCAGAAACAACCATGGGGCGTGCTGTGGGGATGGCTCAGTCCGGTCACATAAGCTTAGAGATCTGAGTTTGATTCTTAGAACACATATACCATGGAGATGCGTGATTGTAAAGTTTGTAGTGCTGGGGAAGTGAAGACAGGTGGAGCCCTGTGGTGGTTTGACTAGACCTGGCCCAGGGAGTGGACTACTAGGAGGTGTGGCCTTGTTGGAGGAAGTGCATCACTGTGAGGGTGGGCTTTAAGATCCTCCTAACCACATTGGTGGGGGGGGGAGGGAAGCCAGTCTTCTCCTAGCTGCCTTCAGAACAAGAGGTAGAACTCTCAGTTCTTCCAGCTCTATGCCTGCCTAGATGCTGCCATGTTTCCTACCATAATGATCATGGACTGAACCTCTGAACCTGTAAGCCAGAGCCAATTAAATGTTGTCCTTATAAGAGTTCCTGTGGTCATGGTGTCTGTTCACAGCAATGAAACCCTAAGACAATCCCTGAGACTCACTGGCCAGTTGGCCTAACCTAATTGGTTAGTTCAAAACCAACGAAAGACTCTCTCAAAAATACAAGGTGGTAAATCCAACATGGCAGCACACACCTTTAATCTCAGCACTAGAGAAGCAGTGGCAGTCAGATCTCTGTGAGTTTGAGGCCAGCCTAGTCTATATATTGAGTTCCAGGATATCAGGAAATCTCCTTTTTTTTTTTTTCAATACAGAGTTTTTCTGTGTAGTTCTGGCTATCTTGGAATTCACTCTGTAGACCATGCTGGCCTCCAATTCAGAAAGCTGCCTACCTCTGTCTCCCTAGTGCCAGGACCAAGGGTGTGTGATACCACCTCCAGGAAAGACCTTATCTCAAACAAACAAACTTCAAACTAAAATAACAGCAATAAAAAACCAAGGTAGTATACATCTTTAATCTAAGCACTCAAGAGACAGAGTCAGGCAGATCTCTCTGAGTTTAAGACTATCTTAATTTACATAGTGAGTTCTAGGTTAACCTGGACACAGCAAGTCTCTGTCTCAAAACAAAAACAAGATGGATAGCCTGGAGTCATCTGAGAAGAGAAGCCCCGAGCTGAGGAACTGCCCAGATCAGATTGGCCTGTGGCCATGTCTGGGGGAGGGGATTGTCTTGACTGATGATTGATATGGAAGGGCCCAGCCCACTGTGAGCGACACAATTCCTTAGGCAGATGATCTTGGGTTGTATAAAAAAAAAGCTATCTAAGTATGAGCCAATGAGTGAGCCAGCAAACAGCATTTGTCCAGGGTTTCTTTTAGACAAGCTCCTGCCTTTAGTTCTTGCCGAACTTCTTTCAAGGATGGACTGTGACTGTGAATACACGCTTTGCTTGCCTATAAGTTACTTTAGGACAGTATGTTCTACCACAGCATAGGAGGGCACTAGCTGAGGAATGACACTGGCCTGTACACACACATGTACATACATGACATACATGTGCACTCACAAGTACACACAAAACTAAAGTGCCACCTGGCCTTACCCATGGTG